AGCTGCAGCTCCAGCATGGTTATCAGCAACAGCAACAACAGCAGCAGCAGCAACAACAGCCGCAGCAGCAGCAGCAGCAGCAACAACAGCAAGAACAGGTTATCTATCAGCAGCAGCACAATCAAAATCAGCAGCGTCAGCAGAGCTATCAACAGCAGCAACAGGGTTACCAGCATCAAGAGACCCAGCATCAGCAGCAAGCTTACCAACAGCAGCAGCAGCAGCAGCAACAGCAGCAGCAAGTGTACTACCAACAATCGCAGCAGCAGGAAGGTGGTTACCACAACCAGCAACATCGACTTCAGGATGCTTCGCCTGTCGCATGGCCCTCCGTCGCGCAGGAAGGTCCTGCCAACCCACCAACCAATCACGTGACGGCGACAACTTCAGGGCTGCAAGTCGCTCCGCAAGACAGAGACGTTGGAGTTCAAGATATTCTTGCCTTCTGGCGCCAGCTACAAGCGAGTACGGGAAACCAGCTCCAAACGAGTCTCACGAATCAGTTTCAAACGAGTACGACGCCAAACCACCAAACCCTGCAAACGACTCTAACCAGCCAATCGCAAGCAAATCGCGAGCAAGCAAGTGTCGTCGCTTCTGTGGCAGACGCGATACTGGCTGCTTCGCTAGGAAACAGAACAGGGCTATGGACAGATACCGCGACGGAATTGTTAGTGTCTGCAGGGTCGGGAGTTGCCCCAGCGGGCGGATTGGCAGCAGGAGGAGTAGCGACCGCGGAGCCAGCAGGCACGGGAATAACAGGCATGGGAATATCAGGCACGGGACTGGCAAACACGGGAACGACAGGCTCGGAGAGGAGAGGCATGGCAACGGCAGGCATGGGGGTTGCGGGAATGGCGCGAGTTTCTACAGCAGCGGCAGGGGAGGCAGGCCTGCATGGGCGGGAGCCGGAGGTGGCGGCGGCAGATCAAGACTTACTCACCGCATTGAACCGCGGGTTAAACCGCGGGATGAGCCACGAGCCTCCTGTGGGTGCGCTTGCTGGCGTGGGCTTGGACGGTTCTGGCGCTGCCTCAGGGCATGCTGGCCGCACTGCGGCATTTCGACCTGCTGAGGCGCAAGAGGGGAATGAGAGGCATGTGGGGGATGGGGGCGGCGAGTGGCGCGACGGGGGGGATGGGCGCGAAGGGCGCGGACGCAGCGTTGGCGCAAGGGACGCGTATGGCAGTGCTTCGAATCACCATGTGACCCAGCAAGGCGTGCCACCGCATGCTCTAATACGACAAGTCATGACACCCCATGACGTGGCAGCACAGGGCATGGCAGCACAGGGCATGGCCGCACAGGTGGTGCAGCCCGAAGCTCGGATGCAGCCAGATGTTGTGATGTCGCAAGGCGTGGCACAGATGTCGCGAAGGAGCCTGGAGCCCTTGCTTCATGGGCAGCCACGTCAGGAGCCTCTGCCACGTCAGCATGCGCGTCAGGAGTCCGTGCCACGTCACCAGTCGTTTCAAGAGCCCGCGCCACTTCAACACGCGTTTCAGGAGTCTGTAGCGCGTGAACAGCCCGTGCCACGTCAGCAGCCTCGGCGGGAGTGGTGGCTTGATGCGATAGGAGAAGGAGAACTGATTCAGGTTCCTAGGGACAGCGCAACTGCAGACGCCAGGGCAAGCGGTCAAGTGCCTACTCTTGAAACTGGTGCTGCTAATATGGGGTATGAGCGGCTTCAAGAGCACCCGGAAGGCCGTGAAAGGTTTCAAGGAGAGGGTCTTAACGATATGCAGTTTCGCAGTAACGAGTACGAGGAAAACGGTGGTGGTGGCTTGCAGGCGTTGCAAGGGAGGCAGCAAGGGGACGGGGGTTCGCGAGGGGGGAGAGGAGAGGTGACGCCAGGTGATGCGCGGTATGTGGATGACTGGCAGCAGCAGCAGCAGCAGCAGCAGCAGCAGCAGCAGCAGCAGCAGCAGCAGCTGTTGTTGCAACAGAAGCAGCAACAGCAGCCACGGGAGCTTCTGCAGCAGCAGCGGTTAGAGGATGAGCAACTGCTGTTGCTGCTGCAGCAACAGCAACAACAAGAGGTGCAGCAGCAAGAGCAACAGCAGCTGCAGCTGCAGCAGCAGGAGCAAGAGATGCTGCGACAGCGACAGCAACAACAGCAGCAGGAGCAAGAGAGGCAGCGACAGCAACAACTGCAGCAGGAGCAAGAGAGGCAGCGACAGCAACAACTGCAGCAGGAGCAAGAAAGGCAGCGACAGCAGCTGCAGCAGCAGCAGGAGCAAGAGAGGCAGCGACAGCGACAGCAACAACTGCAGCGGGAGCAAGAGAGGCAGCGACAGCAACAACTGCAGCAGGAGCAAGAGAGGCAGCGACAGCAACAACTGCTGCAGGAGCAAGAGAGGCAGCGACAGCAACAACTGCAGCAGGAGCAAGAAAGGCAGCGACAGCAGCAACTGCAGCAGCAGGAGCAAGAGATGATGCGACAGCGGCAGCAACAACTGCAGCAGGAGCAAGAGAGGCAGCGACAGCAACAACTGCAGCAGGAGCAAGAGATGCAGCGACAGCAGCAACTGCAGCAGGAGCAAGAGAGGCAGCGACAGCAGCTGCAGCAGCAGCAGGAGCAAGAGATGATGCGACAGCGGCAGCAACAACAGCAGCAGGAGCAGGAGAGGCAGCGACAGCTACAGCAACAACAGCGGCAGGAGCAAGAGAGGCAGCGACAGCAACAGCTACAGCAACAACAGCGGCAGGAGCAAGAGCTGCAGCGACAGCAACAGCAACAGCAACAGCAGCAGCAGCAACAGCAGCAGTTTCTATGGCAGCAGTGGCAGGAACAGTTGGCACAGCAGCAGGTGCAGCACGGACAGGATCAGCGGCCAGAAGCCCAACTAGCGCAGCAGCAGCAGCAACAACAACAACAACCAGTAGAGCATCAAGATTATCAACAACAGCAGCAGCACCACCACTACCGGCAGCAGCAGCAGCAGAGGCGGCGGCAGGCAGGGCAGCAAGAAGACCCGATTTTGCCACACACTGCAAGCCCAATTGCACAATTTTCTGGTGCGGCAGCAGCAGCAACAACAACAGCAGCAGCAGCAGACGTGGCAGTGGACAGTGCGGACGAATTATCAGATTCAGAGCTGATGGACGGTGCTGATGTGGACATGGACGGTGCTGATGTGGACATGGACGACACTGACGTGGACATGGACGAGCTTGTTCTGCCGGGTGAAGAGGCCGCTGAAGCTGTCACCACCGCTGCCTTCCGGCCCGCTGCTGCCGGTGCTGCTGCCGGTGCTGCTGCCGGCGCTGCTGCTGCCACTCCTGTTGCTTCGGCCAATGCCGGCACTGCTGCTCCTGCTGCTGCCACTGCTGTTACTGCTGCCACTGCTGCCGCTGCCGGCAGTGTGGGTGCACGATGGCAACGAGTGAACTGGACTGGCAACACGCACACGACACTTCCCCACCCTCCACAGCAGCAGCAGCAGGTGCGGCAGCAGCAGCAGCAGCAGCAGCAGCAGCAGCAGCGGGGCCGGCAGCAGCGGCAGCAACAGCAACCGCAGCAGCAGCAGCGACAGCGGCGGCAACAGCGGCAGCGGGGACAGCAGCAGCAACAGGCTCGGCAGCAGCAGCAACAGGCTCGGCAGCAGCAGCAACAGCGGCGTCAGCAAGCCTCAGTAGTTACCCCTGCCATTCAGGGTTCCGCAGCAGCACCTTCTGCACTCCTTCCTGGACGCGAAGCTTCTGTGCAACTTCCAAGTCGTGAGCATTCCAGGCCATATTCCGTGCACGAAGCAGCTCCTTATCCCCCCACCCACATGCACGCCCTAACCTCTGCATCGCTGCCTTTGGAATCGGCTCGTGACTCTTCCCATCCTCCCACCCACGCCCATGCCCTCCCACCGTCAGCGCCTGGGGGTGGCGTGAGGGAAACAGGGAGAAGCGGGAGGGGGAGAGGCAGGGGAAGCGGAAGGGGGAGGGGGAGAGGCAGGGAAAAGGAAACGGGCAGGGGAAGGGCAGGTGGGGGTGTTGAAGAAGGGGTGGGGAGGAGAGATGAGGGGTCGGGGGGACTGGGGCAAGGCGAGGGGCGGGCCAGGGGTCAGAGTATCGCTTCTTCTGCCGCTGCTGCTGGCTCCCCTGCTGCTGGGCCCCCTGCTGCTGCTTCTGCGGCTGCTGGTGCTGCTCCTGTTTCTGGTGCTCCCCCCGCCACTGCTGCTGCTGTCTTGGCTGGTTCGGTTGCTGCTGCTGCTGGCGCTGCTGGCGCTGCTCGTACTGGCGATGAGGCTGCTACCGCTGATGCAGGTGCTGGTGGTGCTGGTGGTGTTGGTGGTGTTGGTGGTGTTGGTGGTGTTGGTGGTGTTGGTGCTGCTACCCCTGGTGCAGGTGCTGCTGGTGCTGGTGGGAGAGGCAGCGTGGTAGCTGGGGGAAGAGGAAGGGGTGAGGGAGCTTTGATGGTGGGGCAGGGCAGAGGCATGGGCAGAGTTATGGGTAGGGGCATGGGTGGGGACATGGGCAGGGGCATGGGTAGGGGCATGGGTAGAGACATAGCTGGGGGCATGGGTAGGGGCATGGATGGGGCCATGGACGAGGGCATGGGTAGGGATATGGCTAGGGATATGGGTATTGGCATGGGTAGGTTCATGCCTGTGGACATAGGTAGAGGCTCGGCTGGGGACATAGGTAGAGACATGGGTAGAGGCATGCCAGGTGGCAGAGGTGCAGGTATGCCTGTGGGAATGGGTAGGGGCGTGGGTATTGGCATGGGCGGGCGCATGGGCAGGGGCAGGGGCAGAGGCAGAGGCAGAGGCAGAGGCAGGGGTTTTTCTGCAGGATATCTTGCTGGGCTTGCTGCTGCCCGTGCTGCGCTTGCCCGTGAAACTGGTTCTCTGGGTGCTGCTGCTGTTGGTGGTGCTGCTGCTTCTGGCCCTGCTTCCGCTGCTGCTGCGGCAGCACAAACACCTGCAGGAGGAGGAGCAGCGACGGCCGCAGCGGCGGCAGCAGCAGGAGAAGGGCTGGACGGAGGGGTGGATTGGGAGATAGAGATGGGGACCGTGCCCCTGGATGGTGATGATGATGATGATGATGATGATGGTGATGATGGCACTGAGCCGTGGCCGTCCGAGGGACTAGGGGAGGCGGGAGGAGCGGCGGGAGGAGGAGCAGATGCCGTGAGGAACGGAACGGAACGGGCAGCAGCAGGTGCGCAAGGTGAAGCAGCAGCAGGAGGGGGCGCAGCAGCAGCCGATGGGGTGGCGGCAGCAGCAGCAGCAGCGGGGGAAGGCGGGGAGGAGGACGATGGGGAGTGGCGGCCTATTCGGCTGCGGAACATGCGGGTGAAGCGGCAGAACAAGCTGGACGTGCACACCAAGCGCGAGATGTGTGTGCTCAAACGCGAACGCCCAGGGCTCACCCACACCAACATTGTGCAGCTGCTGCAGGTGCGTGCGGTGAGAGTGGTGCATGTGGTGAGAGTGGTGCATGTGGTGAGAGTGGCGCATGGTTTAGGGGTTGAGGACACACATGCACCACCCTCTCCACCTGTTGGAGTGGTGCATGTGGTGAGAGTGGTGCAAGTGGGTCCTCAACCCCTCTCCTCAACCCCTCCCCCCCCCCCAACCACTCTTCCCAAACCCCCTCCGTGGCAGATTCGCTTCCCCGGGCTGCGAATGGAGCCGTCCCACGTGACCAAGATTCTCAAGGATGAGAGCCGCTGGTTTGACGACCGCAACGTCAAGTTTGTGAAGGGCATGCGCGTGCGAATGCCCGAGTGCTTCGCACTGGAGGAGGCCCTCGCCGCGTGGTACAAGGAGGAGCGCCTGCACGGCCGCATACCGCTGGCTAGAATCTCCGAGAAGGCCCGGGAGCTTGGGCCTCAGTATAGCGCCCCGGCGGATTTCAAGTGAGTGCTAGCAATGTTAATCCCGAAACCCGAAACCTTAAGCCCCGAAGCGTAAACCCGTAACCCTGGAGGAGGCCCTGGTGGCATGGTACAAGGAGGAGCGCATGCACGGCCACTTACCGCTGGCTAGAGTTACTGACAGACAAGGCCCGGGAGCTTGGCCCTCTGTATGGTGCCCCGGATTATTTTAAGTGAGTGCAGGCGGATTGCTATTCGTAAACCTTAAGCTCCAAATGTTGAACTCCAAATTCAGAATCCTAAACCTGAAACCCTGAAACCAGGTGACTTTTGAGTCGACCAGGTGACTTGTGAGTTGACCAGGTGACTTCTGAGTCGACCAGGTGACTTGTGAGTCGACCAGGTGACTTGTGAGTCGACCAGGTGACTTGTGAGTCGACCAGGTGACTTGTGAGTCGATTTGAAAAGAGGCCCTGGTGGGGTGGTACAAGGAGGAAAATGCGTTTACACGGGGTTGAAGAGGTGTCGCAGCCTCTGGGAGTGCCTTGTCAGAATAAGGCTGCTATCGAGACTTCTCAAAATCAACCTGCAACTCAAATCAATCCACAGGAAAGTAAGAGTGTCAGGTTGCTTTTGAGAACTCTGCAAGTCAAGGTGCAAGGAGGATTGGGTGCGCAAACATAAAGCCATCAGCCCTTAGACTCCAATTTGTCTCTTCCTAGCTTTGAACTGCCCCACGAACGAGCCACTTTGGGTCTTCCCAACCTCCACTTCGTGTCTGACACGGGCTAGGAATGCACCCTCAAAGTCAAGGTACAGGGGGGGCATAGAGGAAGGGGTGCGCACAGCTTAGAGATTGGTGTGCTGTATGCTCTAACCCCGTTGCTTCCACTGCCACCGTCCCTCCTGTGCTCTCCCGGGCCGACTGCAGGTACAGCACTGGATGGGTGATGCGGTTTCTAGAGCGGTGGGGGTATTCAAGGAAGCATCTGGAGGCGGCGAGGGAGGCACACTTTCAGGAGGAGGAGGAAGGCGACGGGGAGGGGGAGGGGGGGGGCGGGGGTGCTGCTGCTGAGGGGGAGAATCCCGGCCCTCCTCTTTTAGAGCTTGCTGATCGGATGTTTGGTCCTGAGATTAGAGAGGCTGGGAGGGGGGGTAAGGGGCGGAGGAGGAGGAGGCATAGGGAGTGGACTGCGGATGGACGGGAGGTGATTGATTTGGAGAGCGACGGGGAAGAGGAGGGTGGGGAAGGGAGTGGGGAGGAAGGGGATGAGGAGGGGGAGGAGAGGGAGGAGGAAACGGAGGAGGAGAGGGACGTTGAGGATGGAGGGGAGGAAATGGGACAGGTGGTGGAAACACAGGAGGGAAGGGAAGTGCATGGGCAAGGGGAAGTGCGTGAGGGAGGGGGGGAGCATGAAGGAGGGACCACCACCCTAGCAGACCGCTCCCCTCGCCCCACCCTAGCGGAATTGGCTCTAGCAGAGGCGATTGCAGACGGCACGATATCAGAGGACGGGGGTGGGTCCCTCCGTGTGAGGGGCGATCTGGCCTCCCTTGCTCTGGCTGAGGCCACAGGAGCGCTGCCTGCTGCTGCCATTGCTGCCGCGGGGGATATTCTGTCCGTGCCTGCTGCCCCTGCTGCTGCCGGTGCTGCGTCTGGTGTTCCTGGGAAAAAGCAGCCGACGCAGCAGCAGCGGCAGCGGCGGCGGCGGCAGGTGAAGGGGGGGGTTGGGCGGGAGTCGCGGCGGGGAATGAAGTACCGGACTCGGCAGCATTTCAACCTCACAGTGAAGGTCAAACGGGCTATGTGCTTGCTCCAGCAGGCTGTGCCTGAGTTGCGGATCAAGGGGCTATTGCAGCTGATTACCCAGGAATGTGGGGGTAAGTTGCTCGAGAGTGTACCATACTGCAACATTCGGAAAACGCTGTCCCACAGGGACTATTACCTCCGCTCTCAGGACATAGAAACCCGTTTCCGGTATAGAAAGCCGAAATACCCGGAATTTGAGAGGGCGCTCACGGAGTGGGTGCGAGAGATGAAGGGCAAGTATGGGGAGGACGTTCTGGTCTATGAGGATGTAAAAGGATATGCGAAGCAGCTAGGGCCACGCATGGGCGTGCGGAAAACCTTTACTTACAGCTATGGTTGGGTGGCGAGGTTTTTGCGCCGACAGGGGTTGAACCTGAAGAGTATTAGGAGGGATGTGGCGAAGGGGGGAGAGCCTGGGGCGGGTGGGGGCGGGAATGGGGAGGGCGAGGGGGAGAGGGAGGCGGGGGAGGGGCAGGGGGAAGGGGATGAGGTAGGGACGGATGGAGAGAGGGGAGGGGTTACTACAGACGATGGTGCTAGTACTGATGGGGGCGGTGAGGGCGAGGGGGATGAGGAAAGGGGGGACGAGGAGGGAAGGGGAGAGGGAGAGGAGGCAGCAGGAGGGGAGGCGGGAGGAGGGGATTCAGGAGGAGGAACAGAAGGAGGGGGGGCAGCAGGAGGAGAGGCAGGAGGACGGGAGGCAGCAGGAGGGGAAGCAGCAGGAGGGGACGCAGCAGGAGGGGAGGCAGCAGGAGGGGAGGCAGCAGCAGGGAATGCAGCAGCAGCAGGAAATGCAGCAACAGCAGGAAAGGAAGCAGAAAAGCCGACAGAAAAGGCAGCAGCAGCGCGGGAGGCGGACGAGTTGGCAGGGAGGATCATGGCTCTAGTGGAAAAGATCAAAGCAGGGGAGGCAGTGCCACTGCTGGAAGAGGGGCTGTTGCCGCGGAAGGGAGGCAGGAAGGGAGGCAGGAAAGGACGCAGGGGGGCTATGAACCAAGGCGGTAATAACGATGGGGGTAGCGATGGTGGTAACGACGGTGGTGTCAAGCAGCGCATGCAGGTGCCGCTTCCGCTGAAGCTCGCCGCGTGTGCCGTCTACCGCGCCCGCCCCGACCTCCCCCACGTGATCGTCCACCAGACCCTGCAGAAGCGGTACAATGTGAAGCTAGAGCGGTTGAAAGCGGCCAATTTGCTGAGCATGGAGGCGAATATGAGGGAGGCGATGCAGCGGGGCATGGTGAGGGCGAGGAAGGGCAGAGAGGTGCAGCTGGAGGAGGCTCTTGCTATGGCCGTGAGGGGGGCTGCAGCACGGATGGGTGGGGACCGGGGTGGGGAAGGAGTGGGACGGGGTGGGGTTGGGGCGGCAGGGGAGGGAGGTGAAGGGGGAGAGGGGGCAGGAGCAGGATTAGGAGCGGGGGGAACAGGAAGAGGAGCGGGGGGAACAGGAGGAGGAGCGGGGGGAACAGGAGGAGGAGCGGGGGGAACAGGAGGAGGAGCGGGGGGAACAGGAGGAGGAGCGGGAAGTGAGGGAGCAGGAGGAGCAGCAGGAGCAGAAGGGGGGGGAGCAGGAGCGGCAGGAGCAGAAGGCGAAGCCAGTGCAGCAGCTGCAACAACAGGCCCCCTGCTCCTCTAATGACGGTCCCGCAGGTGCTGGCATACGCCAAGCGCCTGGGCCCGCTGGTGGGCGTGTCCCCATCGTTCCGCTACACCACTGGCTGGCTGCTGCGCTTCCTAAAACGCCACAGGCTTGAAGAATTCGTTGCTGGGAGGGCCAGGCGGAAAGCGGCCGGAGGAAGAGTGGGGGAAGGAGCGGAGGAAGGAACGGCGGAAGGAGCAGGAGGTGGGGGGGGAGGTGGGGGGGGAGGTGAGGGGGAGGGGAGGCGCGAGGAGGAGTGGGTACCGGAGGAGCTGAGAGGGATTCTGGATGAGACGTTTCATGTGAGGCAGGAGGAATTGGATGCACTGGTGAGGCTGGCAGAGCGCCTGTGGCGGAGGAAGATGCGGATGAAACGGGGCCAAAAAGGGGGAGAGGAGCTGGAGGAGTCTGAGGAAGAGGAGGGCCAGGGGGAGAGGGGGGAAGGAAGGAGCGGGAGAGTGGGGGGGTTGGATGGGGATTGGGGGGAGGATGGAGGGGACGGGGGGGTGGGATATGCAGGCGGTGATAGTGATGACTCTGGTAGTGATGGTGATGGTGGTGGTGGGTTAGGAGGCATGGCAGAGCGAAGCACCTACTATCGCCACAGCTCGGGGGCTTGGAGCGAAGATGAGCAGGCAGGAGGGCATGGGGCGAGCATCTCCCGCTCCCAGCATCTCCATTCCCTGTCAAACCTCCCTGGCGCGGGGGTGGTGCCTCCTTCTATTGCTTCTCTTGCACCTGGCGGTGGTGCAGGCACGAGGTGGGGAGGAGCAGCAGCAGCAGCGCTCGTGCCAACCCCTGTGAGCACAGCAGAGGGGATTCTCTCAGAGCTAGCAGACGTGCGCGTGGGGTCTCTGTCAGACGCGCACCCCTCGTTGCTCTCCTCCTGGTCCCACCTCTCCACTGCTTCTCCTGCTCGCGCTGCCAGTGCTGCTGGTACTACTACTGGTGCTGCTGGTGGGGGTCTAGGCGCAGCTGTTGGGGTGATAGACGGTTTGGGGAGCATGATTGGCGGGATGACTGGGGGGAGCGAGGCGGAGCTGAGGTTGGCCCGGCGGCGGCGAGACATGCTGTCGTCTGATGCTTTCTACAAGCGCTGGCAGGAGCATGCGAGAGCGCGGCGGGAAGCGGGAGAAAGGGCTCAAAAGATGTCTGATGCGTTCTATCAGCGCTGGCAAGAGCATGCGAGAGCGCGGCGAGAAGGGGGGGAGAAAGAGGGGGAGAGAGGAGGCGGCGAGGGAGGAGGGGGGGAGAGAGGCATGGGAGAGGGAGCGGGGGCGGGAGAGGGAGGAGGAAGGGCGGGCGGAGTGGTGGGAGGGGCAGGAGGTGCAGGAGGTGGGGGGAGTGGAGGTGGGGGGAGTGGGGAGGGGGCGTGGGAGCAGGACGAGGGGTGGCAGTGGTGGATGCGGTCTGGTGTGGTGGGGGTGCGGCAGATGGTAGGGGCGTGGGATACTCTCTTGGCTGTGCGTGCCGTGTGTGTGGGGGCGGAGCGTGGTGCTGGTAGGGGCAGTGCTGGTAGGGGTAGTGGCGGTGGGGAATGGGGAGGTGGTGGTGGGAGAGTGGGAGTAGGGGGGGCTGGGGTAGGTGGGGGAAGAGGGGGAGGTGGTGTGAGAGGGGCAGGAGCAGGAAGAGGGAGGGAAGCGGTTGTGCGATGGGGGGCCAAGCTGCAGGTGAAGCAGGAGTGGGATGAGATGCAGTGCGGTGGCAGTATTGGGAACAGGATTGGGGCGAGCTTCAGTGGCAGCAGTGGTAGTGGTGGCAGCAGCAGTGGCAGCAGCAGCGGTGGCAGTGGTAGCAGTGGTGGCAGCAGCGAGAGTGACAGTCAAGAGTCTAGCAGTTCCGATAAGGAAGATGATGATGATGATGACAGCAATAGTGACAGGTCTTGTAGCGAGGATGGCAGTATGGAGGATTGGGAGGAGAAGCCGGCAGTGGGGAGGCAGGGGGGAGGGCGGGTGAATACAGGGGGCACTGGGGTGAGGGTTGGAACAGGGGGGGTTGGAACAGGGGGGACTGTGGGGCGGATGAGCAGAGGGGGTGCTGGGGGCCGGGGCAAGAAAAGGCGTAGAGGTGACAAGCAGGGTGGGTCGATAGTGACCGCAAAACGTGGGGGGAGAGGGGGTTCTGGGGTAAGGGGTGGTGGACGAAGTGGGGTGGCAGGAAGAGGAGGGGCGGCAGGAAGATTAGGGGCGGCAGGACGGGGAGGGGTGGCAGGAAAAGGATGGGCGGCAGGAAGAGGAGGGGCAGCAGGAAGGGGCGGGGTGGCAGGACTAGGTGGGGTGGCAGGTCGAGGATGGGCGGCAGGAAGGGGCTGGGCGGCAGGAAGCGGCTGGGCGGCAGGAAGCAGCTGGGCGGCAGGAAGAGGTGGCGGGTCAGGTCCCCCGCCGGGTCCCACTGGGCAACCGTCGTCCTTTGCATCACTGCTGTCTCAGCTCCTCTCCTCCACTGGCCCCCCTCCTGGCACACTCGCCACTTCTGCTGCTACCAACATCACCAATCCCCTAAACCCTCAAGCTCCTCAGGGGTTTGGGGTTGGAGGGTTTATGGGGGCTGGAGCTGCGGCTGATGTTGGCGCTGCTGCTGTTGCGAATGCGTCTGCGGCGGCAGCTGCTGCTGCTCGAATGCCATCGGCTACAGTCACCACCACTACTGTCACTCCTGCAGGGTTTACAACCACCACTATTGTCCCCAATAGGTAATCTTTTCCGTAGTATCTCAAGGTGATTGTGTCCAACACACCACATGTAGTAGCTTGAACATGTCGTTTTTATCAAACTTCAAATTATTAAATAGCGAAATCAACTGTACACTCAGATTCGTAAGTGTTTTGCCTTGTAAACCTTACTTTGTCGCATCCCCGAAACCGTCCCAGCCCAAAACCTCCCCCCTAAGTCCCCGCTCCCGTTAAAACCCTCCTTTTTCATCAACCCTCGCGAAAAAACCTGACCGCACCCGACCCATGCATGTGTGACAGCAAACATTTCTTCGTCACTCTTTTTCTTCATCCTTCGTGTTGGCACGCAACCCCGTCAAAAGAACCACTGCCTACTCTTCCCGTCCGAACACCCTTCCAAGCTGCCCACGAATGGCGCCGCCGGCGTACCGCGTGGTACTGACCGTCACATAGTAACTCTCCGGCTCCTGCAGAATCACCCGCACCGCATCCCTAAGCGACTGCTGGTCTTGCTCGCTCGACACGAAGAAGCTATTACTACTAGTACTACCAGTGCCAGTACCGTTACAGTAACGGTCACCCTTCCCCGCCTCGTGTTCCCCCGCGCCCCTCCCCGCTTCGGCACGCAGCTCCTCCGCGCTCCCCCCCACCGTGCCCGCGCAGGTCACCGTGGGAGAAGCGCTGTCCGCGGCGTTGTGACCAGCCGCGCGGCGCCCCGAGGTGCCGCACGGCAGGTCCAGGAGGCGGTCATGGTGCGCGCCCGCCTCGCCCTTCCTCCCGCGGTGCGCGCTCATCTTACGCGGCGGCGCGTCGCGCGAAAGCCCGATGATGATCACCTTGTATTCCAACCGGAGCGCTCCGCTGGAATCTCTGCCAAGTTTGAGGAGGGGCGTTTTGGTAGGGGTGCTTGTTATTCACTCGACAGAGAAGAAATGAAATTCTCCGCATTCCCTCGTCGCGACAACCCGATGTTAAATCACCTTGAATTCCAAACAGAACAGCCCGTTGGAGTCACTGCCGATCGGCAGAGCGGCGGTTGGTTATGACAGAGGCGGCTCAAGTGCTGACGGCCACGGGTTACTTTCCTCGTCTTTCGAGAATGTCCCTTGAGAACGGCGGAGCTGGTACCGGCTTGTAGCACGCAGGTCGACGCGGCGAATTGCAGCGCAACGCACTGTACCTCAATGTACCGCAACGCACCTGTGGATGGTGGCGTTCAGGAAGCCGTAGGCCTTCGGATCCCCGCGCGCCGGCACCACTTGCCGCCCCGTCAGCTTTGCGTAAATCGCCTGCACCGACGCGCTGCCGCCACTGCCGCCACTGCCGTCACTGCCGACCACCACTGCCTCGGGGAGGTACTGCCTGGCGACGGCGCTATCTGACAGCACCCCTGCGGGGAGAGATGATACTGCCTGGGTTGCAACGGTCGGGGGAGGAACGAGCGTGCGGTTTGCTTTCGCTGTCGTATAAGCTGAGAGGAAATGGGCTGGTGTAGGTGGGTCGGGATGTTCGAGGTGCGAGAGTTTGGTCGCTTGGCCTGCAAAACGACAGGTTGGATGAGTGGAGGAGGGAAGCAGGTAGCGGCGTCAAGCTTCTTTGGAGATTAGCTAATGTGAGAGCGAGCGTGTGTGAATCACGGGCTCCGTTATTCTGTGATTATGCAGGAGGATTCTTAGAATTCTTAAAAACGCATGGGTCCTCTGGTTGTCTCGTCTGCATGATCACCAACAACCGTAAGCAATTGAGTTTTGACTGTGACAGTGAGATGTGAGTGCTGCGACTTTTGAGTCGACTCAAAAGATTTGACTGTGACAGTGGGATGTGAGTGATGCGGCACCAGCAGCCTGAAGCAGCCGGGACGCGAAAAAGGCAGCTCACCTTGATCCTGGTTGTGCCCCGTCAGCGCGAGCACCAACAGCGCAGCGACCACTGCATTCCGTGCGCAGAGGGGAAGGGCGAAGGTAGGAGGGTGAGGAAAGGTAAGTGAGGGGATAGGGTGAGGTTGGGGGGGGGGAATCTGGGCTTTTTTTTTTTTCAGCTGCACTTCCCTAAACTTCTTTGTGCATTGTCCTTATACCATTTCGCGTCATCACACGGCTGCCCCCACTCGTTTCGGGAAATTTGGACGTGTGATACCGCCACGACGGCTCAGAAATTTGCGCTCCCTGTCCGGCTCCTGAGAGGATGCATGAAAATTTGAAGGATTCGGCGCGCTGTGTTGGGTCCCAACCACTGTAAAACCTTCCCACATTATATATAACATTGCTACTAACTGGTTAGTTGCTCGGATCACAGCACCGCAATTACGCACCGAGGAAGAGGGCGATCTGCTCGTGAAATTCAGCCATCGGAGAACCACGCCGCGTCTGGCGATGCGAAGCAGGCTAGGAGTAGGCTTTGTTCTAGATTTAGGCGATTACTGTACTGGCACCGTTTTAGGGTCTCGCTTTGCAGGATGAGAGCTATAGTCTTAGTACGCAATGAAGCGAGGGCACGTTTCGCACCCAATTATGCTCCTGGAAATAAGCTCACGAAGAGAAATCCTTGAAAGGCTTCAAGAATTGAGATGGCGAAAGCGCTGTCCAGCATCTTCAGGTGTTCGAGCTCTACACCTAGCCACCGCTATTTTCAACTTCCCACCTTGGCACTGTTCCCGATTTTCATATAAACCCTGCCCAGCTTTCGGGGTTTTCTGTTAGAAACCTCGGTATGGGGGACTACGAATGACGTCAAATGCTGGACGCTGGAGATTTTAATCGGGCGAGTGTAAGACAATTTCCGCTCGTGTGGAGTCTGCTTCCTGTTGCGCAGCTTTCAGGAGTCAGGAACTAACTCTGCGTAGAGCGTATGACGTCCGACACAACCCTTGGTAAAAAATGTTTGAGGGGTGCATACCCCTTTGCGCACGTGGGGGTTGAAAATAGACCGAAAGAAAATAGCGGTGGTTAGGTGTAGTAGGAATCATTTCACAAGAGCCTTTGGTCGAGCAAGCATGGAATGTGTTGCAGGGGGAATGCTGGCAGCGGGAGCAAGTCTCGTCATCGTAGCCGTCCGTCACCCGTTTCGCTTCGAATAATCGTGCTGGATGGAAGGTGGAATCCTTGTGACGGATAATTGCGAGTCGCGAATCGTTCTATGTGATTTTACTCCGTGATCTTGAAATTGACATCCGTGACTCACGGCGACAGCTGAAAAGGCGTGATACAGACTTTGTGACCAATACACGATTTAACATTTTCGATGCCTTATATGCAGTTAGTTGGGGAAGGCCTGCCCTGAGTGACAAATGCAAAACTGCAGAAAAAAACTTGACAAGCATTCTCGCTATCATTGCCATAGATCGCTTTAAGTTACCATTTGCATAATTTCCCATAACTAATTGCACCGTTGTGTGCAACTCAAACTACACCGCAACGTTCTTTGCATTGTCCTTCTCATCAGAGTCAGTGACGAGCTCGGCGGTCCTGGAAGTTGTCATGGCGCCAAACACAGCAGCGGAGACGAACCAGAGGAAGAGCGAGGCCCAGTTCTGCGCCATGCTCGCACTGCCGTAGTTGGGCTGGCCTGAATGCACCATCATCATCTGCATGTCTGCGAACCCGTTCTGCACATCAAGAGCAGCGGCGGCAACAAACAGCGGAGCATGAGACAGGGCATTTGAGGCCATAAAGGGAGAAATGGAAATTATACCATAGTAGTGGAGAGGGTGAATTTTGAGGAGTAAACAACATCCATCAAAAGCAGCAAAGGTAGCCCTATCATTCCGCCCTCCCAGCCCCTCCTCTCCTCCTCCCTCATAGCATCTCCCACATCCCCTGCTACAGAACAGGCAGACGAAGACAGGGCCAGGTGCAGCATTCACCCAGCATAGCAGCAGCAAGCATGCTACCGGTGACCGCTGGAACACTCACCACGCAGGTGCCAATGCCGGCATAGTATGTGAACTTGCCGAGCAGGATGTGGTAGGTGCCCATCTGGTACCGCGTTGCATCGGACAGGTGGCTCTTGAAGAGCACGAACGCGCACAGGCCCCAGAAGAACTGCAGTGCGAGGGAGGGGAGGGAGAGGGCAGCAGAGCACAGCATGGCATGACAGTCCTGCGCCTCTCACGACGATCGTATAAGATCAAATCAAATCAGAGCAAACCACTCGAGATCGGATCTGCTCAAAGCCCGGATGCCATGCCAGTACGTAAAACAGCACCATACTCGCAACATGGCATGGCATGGGATGGTTGAGAGGGTGGATCGTCGTATCCTTTATAGCAAGAGCATGGTGAGCGGGCATGCAGCGTATCAAGCACACTCACCTGGACAGCGAAGAGAGCGAGAGTGAGCACGCCGCAGTAGGTATGCACGGAGTACATGTGCTTGTGCTCCGTCCCTTTGGCCACAATAATAGCCGCCATCGCCACTGCCGTCAGAACGAGCGCGATTGCCTGCCACGCCAGATGCACCCACTTGGCATACCCAGTCGCCCTGCAGTGGCGCGGAGAAGACAGAAATGTGAAGTCACAGCCACACGGGTTGACTTTTGAATCTAATCAAGAGTCACGCCGGGTGCATCCTCTTGGCGTTCCCGAACTCGTCTTAGGAAAACGAGAAGACCAGCAAGGCGGGGAAGAGAGGAGAGAAAGGGGAGGTTGGGAGGGAAAGGGTTACTGTCGTACCTGAGGGAGGAGGAGCAGAAGGTGAGGAGGGATTCGGTCATGGCGATGCCGAAGGCGATCCCCATGAGCAGCACGTGCCAGTTCCACCCGTTGTCGCAGTTGAAGCACGTGGACAGCCCGCCGTACACGGCGAGCGGCGCGGCGGTTTTGTCCTTGGAGAGGTAGGCGACGAAGGTGATGAGCAGCGCCAGGAAGACGAGCTCCAAGAGACGCGCGGTCCACGAGAAGACGCGCACGGGCGCCGTGAGCGTGTGCGACCCCATGCTGGCGACGGTGGGCGACAGCGGGCGACGGCGGGCGACGGTGGGCGACGGCGGTCGACGGTGGGCGACGGTGAATCGGACGGTGGCTCACGTGAAAAGGCGAGGCTCGCAGGAGGTTGAAGGAGGGAGTGCTGGGATGCTGGCGACGGTGGGTCGGACGAGAGTGAGAGGCGCACGACTGGCAGTCGAGTGTCGCTTCAAGACGCTCGCCCTCAAAACTGGGTGTGGGGCGTCGATTCAGACCCTCACGACGGTGACAACTCGCGACCGCCCGGCTGCCTCGTTTCGAGATTGGCGAGAGTAAAGGTGGCTGAAGGCCCTATTTCAACTCCCATGTCAACCATTCGGAATGAGGGGAGGGGAGGGGAGGGGAGGGGAGTCTCGCTAGCTTGGGTGGGAAGGGGGAGACTCGGAGACTCTCCAGGTGTGTGTCTCCCCGCCAAGTTCGATCCCCGCTCTCCTCCTTTCTCTCTCTCCCCCGTTCGGCAGCCTCTGTCGCGTCGCGTCGATAGAAGCGGCGGTATGGGCGGAAATAGAGACGCCGGGCGGAAGGGGGGGCTCAAGGGCTGTGCTCAACCGCGCGCTCGATGGCGCTGCGGGGAGACTCGGGTCGGAAGGAACGAGCGACGAGACGACTTTACGGGCTGAAGTTCGGACGGCGTATGGTCGAAAGATATTTCGAAAACTGTCCCCTGTGAAGGAAATCAAAATTTGTCTCGTCGTTGCCCGCACGCCGCTGAAATTCCCTCCGCTCCGCACCTTTCCCACCCCAGCCCTCACCTTCCCCCCATCACTCATGCACACGCCATCGTGGTCGTTGGATCTGTAGCTTTCCGCCTGGACGAACGAAGATTGGCTGTTTCCCTCGTACCGCGCGCCGCAATTTGTTCGCACGTGCTCCCTCGGATTGACGTACATAAAGAGTCGACACGACTCGGGAAGGGACTTTTTTGCGCTGGGAGCTGGCGCGCGGCCAATCATTGCGCCGGTGCTGGCTGCGTGGCGACCTGTAAGTGGCTCATCTATGGGCGGATAAATCTCTGGGAACAGGCGCCACTTGCGGCCGAAGGAGAGGAACACAGTCAGCATAGTTCGTACATCATGGTACGAGCATGGGAGTCTTGCCAGTCAATCGTACATGTGTGATCGCAAGCCTATCCGCGTCACGTTGAATCTCGTTAGCGAGCGTTACATATCCAGTTCTGAACAAGCTTTGTAGCATACACAAGCATGCTTCCCACACTAATCCCTGACCACTATTTGCTGGATTGCATAGCAACCTTATATGGTACATTTGTTTGGATTGCAGAAGTCTTATTTGTGAAGCCTATTTGAGTTCCAACTGAAACATGTTGGCTGTTTGGCTAACGTGCGAGCGAATTGCGCAATTAGTTACAGACTTCATAGACTACTGCTTAAAACCGGGAACTCATGTAGTCCAGGTGTTTTGCAGTTGGTGAATTGCGCTAGGTTGTGATTGGTTGACGAGGTAGAGGAGTTGACGAGAGCTGAAACGAAAGATGCGAAACAAACAAAAATCGCTGGCTGCTTCCGAACCACCTAGGTATGGAAACTGGTTGGGTTCCGAAGCTATTTTCCCAGCAATGTGTCTCAGCTGCCGAAAAATCTAATGTACAGAAATTTGTTTTGCAATTGCTTCACGGGCAAAACGGAAATCAGTCGCACACTGTGTTGGGCTGAGAAAAGCCCTTAGGATCTTTTGCAGGGGTAAATTCGGGGTAGGATAATTGTAATAGCGGAAGCGTTTAATGAGGAAGTTATGAACCACCTTGCGCTGGTATGTGAGGGCAAAGTAAGTTAATTAAAGCAAAGAGATACAAGCATTTATATATGAATACAAGGAATATGAAAGGATACGGTTATAACTACTTTACTGTTGCTGTTGCGGTTCGATACAGTGACGACTCGGGCAACTGCTCTGTAGCGAGTCAGTTGTGTGTCCTTGCTGTCGCGCTGTACTTGTCAGGTCAAAGGTCGCTGACCTTTGACTTTCGCGTAACCTCCAGCAACCTCTTTCAACCTCCGAGGGTTGACTCGCGTGTGCCTCAGCATGGTTCGCTTCGCTTCTGGTGCGATGTTTCGACACGACAGAGGCGCTTAAGATTTACTGTTTCCAACACTCCCCTTCGCTTCTGGAGTGTCGCAGCTGATGACGTGGCTTTGTCCAGTCAGCAGCATGCAATACTCAAACTTCTGCTTTCCGAGCTTCTTGGTCAAATAGTCGGCTGCCATCTCGGACGTGGGACAGTATGACAGCTCGAGTCTTCCCTTCTCGATCTCGTCCTTTACGAAGAAATAGCGTAGGGCGATGTGTTTCGTCCTGTTCGCGAAGCCGCTTTTGTTGGCGATGCGAATTGCCGACTGGTTGTCGCAGAACAGGGTGAAGTTGGGTAACTCGGCTAATTTCGCTTCTTCCAGCAGCTCGCGAAGGTAAAGTCCTTCTTTGGTGGCTGAGCAGAGTGCAATGTATTCTGCTTGCTCGACTGCCAGGAGATAGGACCGATAGGTTCAAGGCGATAGATGTAGCCGGTGCGCGAGCGTCTGTTGTCTGAGTCACCAGCATGATCTGCGTCGACGTAGCCGATTAACTTAGTCGGTGTAGTTGCGTTCTTGTGGTAGGTTAGCCCGATCGTCGGGGTGCTGACGAGGTAGTGAAGAGCGCGGTCGAGCTCTGCTAGGTGCTCTGCTTCGGGTCTTTTGAGGTAGGTGGCGAGTTGGCTTGCGGAGTAGGATAGGTCTGGGCGACAGGTGACGGCTGCGAAGAGAAGGCATCCCAGCTTTCTCTGGTAGTCGCGAATGCCGGCAGGCTTGAGTAGAACGGATTCACCCTTGTTGTTTCCTGTCGTGTAGCGATATGGTGTGGAGATGGCGGTTGGTGTAAGAGCGAAACGCTTGGCGATGGTGTCGGCGTATTTCGCGGCACTGAGGTAGATCGCGTTGTCTTCTTCTCGGATGTTGAGCCCAAGGTACTGTGTGACGGTAGACAAAACCGTAAGCGTGAGGTCTTGCTGCAGCTCCTCTTTGAACCAGGTGGTGATGCTGTCGGACGAGCCGATGTAGAGGAGGTCGTCTACATGAACGATTAGTAGAATGTAGTCGGTGTTCTTTGTAAGTCGGTACATGCCCTGATCGTGCGGCAGTTGTTTAAAGCCGATGCGGACGAGGCGAGCGTGTAGATACTGTTGCCACAGTCGCGGAGCCTGTTTGATGCCGTAGAGCGATTTGAGCAGCTGGCAGACGTGTGTGGAGTCCGTGCTGGAGCCGTGTGGTAGCTCCACAAAAATCTCTGCATCGACAGGTGCGTAGAGAAATGCATTCGCAACGTCGATTTGTCTCAGCTTCTTCTTCTTCATGGCGGCGATTGCGAGGAGAATTTGCAGTGAGGTGTGTCGACTGACAGGTGCGAATGTTTCGGTGAAGTCGCGTCCGTGCTCTTGGTCGAAGCCGCGCACGACCCATCGTGCTTTGAACTTCTCGATGGTGCCGTCTGCTTTCGTTTTCACGCGGAAGACCCATTTTCCGGTGAGGATGGTTTTGTTCCGTGCTACGCTGATGGGGACGACTTTCCACGTGTTGCGCTCTTCTAATGCTTTCAGCTCCCTGTCCATGGCTTCGCGCCATTTTTCCCTGTGCTCCCCCCCCAGAGCCTGTTGAACCGTCGCAGGCTCCTTAGGAATGGCGGGACCGTGGACTGCGGTGACGAGTCCGAGTATCTGAAGTCCACTCTGTGTGTAGCGAGGGAGTGTGGTATCCTCGGGATAGACTGCTTCGTCTCCCGCTTCTGGTGCTGGGTTGAAATTGGGTCCTACGCGTTCTGCTTCGTTGGTGTTGACCCGTGCAGGTGTAACGTAACCGTTGTCGGCGAAATCGTAGAAGACGTCGGCGTTGACGCTTTCGCGAGGATTGTCGTCGTCCATTGGGATATCCACGGAGCAGTAAGGGAGAGGTCCGGCTGTTTCCGAGGCTCCCTCCACGTTCTGCTCGTCCCAGTCAGCTTCGTCTTCTGCCGAGGCGAAGGCTCGGTTCCCAAGAAATCCGCCCGAGAGGTCAGGTCTGTTTTCTTCGACGTACATGAGGTGAGTTCCGAGGGTGAGGTTCTCGTAGAAGATAACGTCACGTGCTGCTACTGTTTCTTTGCTGTTGATGTCGAAAATTTTCCATGCGTTGTAATGCTTTTCGATGCCCAGGTGCAGTCCCCACTGTGCGCGTTGAGAGAATCGCCCAGCTCGTGCAGATGGAGGTCGGTACTGTACCATGCAGCCGAAAACTCTTAACATTTTTGTGCTGCCCAATTTCCCTGTCCACAGCAGATGCGGTGATGCGTTGTTCGGGAGCGATGATGACGAAAGCAAGTTGTGCAGCATCACGGCGTGGTCCATTGCTTCGGGCCACTGGTGGTTGGGCAGGTGCATGCCACGTAGCAGCTTGCGCATGGTGGCTTGGAGCGTCCTGTTCATCCGTTCTGCTACACCTTGCTGTTGGTGGGCGTAGGGTAGAGAGATGAGCCGTTTGATCCCTCTTTCTGCCAAGTACTGCTTGAACCTCTGTGAGGTGTATTCTCCTCCCCCGTCTGACTGAAAGCTCTTTAGCTTGACGCCCGATTCTCTTTCTGCTACGGGAAGCCACGCGACGAAGGCTTCGAAGGCCATGTCCCTGCTCGGAAGGTTGAGATGCCACACATATCGTGTCGCGGCGTCGATGAACGTGATGGTGTAACTGTAGGCGTTTTGTCCGGGTTCACGGTTGTATAATATGTCGCTGTACACCTTTTCCAGAGGTGTGTACGCAGGTGCGCTTGGATTGTGATGCGAGACGGAAGGCTGATGCGGTAAGTCAGCTTCAGGGCAGGTGAAGCACGTTCCACGGGCTCGCTGAAGTTCTCTGCCGTCGGTTAGTAGGAGTGAGTCTTTGTCGAGTACTCCTGCTCTTATCGTGTTGTTTAACACTGTGTTGCTTGGATGTCCCATTCTTGCGTGCCA